ATTTCAACCTGGGGAGATTTACAAGATTAATTCAGTGTTCAACACATTACCAAAGGCCGGTATTCCCATGGTAAGGTGTATCTGCCCCAGCAATGCCTCTTCCCCAAATAAAGCCAAATAAACTAGAAGCTCTCAAATCCATGGAGGCCTTGCTGTGGTGCACCGTCACACCCTTGTGCTGTCCCACAGTCTCCCTCTAGACAGACACAGCAAAATCGACTCTGTTTTCTCTTGCAATCTCTCTACCAAGGCTGCCCTCAAAGTACCCCCAGGACAGTTGGACAACCCAACTGTAAGGCCTTCCAAATGTAGGGCCTACATTCGGAGACAGCTTCCTCACGTGTAGCCATAAAGTACATAAAAACCTACATTATGGCAGTTTCTCCTTTAGTTCTCTGAAAATAATCGTATTCACCTTTATCTCAAGTTTTCAGGGAGCTTCTCTCTGGTTAACCATTAAACTCTTACCTCTCACATTAGACTTTCAATAAAGGCACATTAAAGATAAATTATAATCAGATTAATTCCTAGGAACACAAACTCACAGCAACAATCGTGGTAATGGTTTCTGATGGCTAGAGCCAGGTTAGGACAACCTGGAGCCTCCAGTTGTGTTGCAGAGATTACCAGTCTGTGGATCTGTCAGAATCATCTTTTCTCAAATAAATTCTCCCCATTTTTACATGTCTAAAAAATAACCCCTTCTGCTTCTGAGCATCCAACATTCAGTTTAAAATTTCAAATTTATCCCATGTGTATAACATTGGAGACACTCATTTGCTGAAGTTAGTTGTCCTTGACATTCTGAAAATATTAAAAATATTTGATATTCTTAATTCATTAGAAATAATTTTTCCTCAATACAAGAAGCACTTCTAGAAAGAAATCAGAAAATACTACGAAGTTATGAAGAAAAAAGCTTTATCACATTATTCAACCACACCCATGAAACACTGGAATGTCAGTTACTACAGTGTTAACATTTTGGCTTCTTTCTATTTTAACTATTTTCACGTTTTCATTATGTATGTTACAATTTGTATCTTATTTCAAAGTGCATGACAAACCTGTAAAGAGCAGAATTCCAAGCCAAGAGGCCCTTGGGTAAAACCCAGTCAACACTAAGGGATTGTGGAATAGAAGTCTGCAAATACAACTTAGAAAATTTAGGCATGGGGTACCCTAAAAGGATTTTAAGTGGTAAAGCAACTTGGTAATACCTAAACAGATATTTGAATTTGTACCATGTGCATTAATATGTCTGAGAATTTAAGAAATACATGACTGGTAACTACCTTTAAATAGAAAAAAAATCAAAGCTTCTATACTCACTTCTTATGTTGTCTCTTCCGGTGATGCAATGAACAGAAAAACACTTAGCAGTGTTTTACATGTCCAGTTAAAAAGCAATTGTGTTACGGTAGAGGAAAAGCACAGCTCTTGTTAACGAGTTATTATGTTTGCAGGAAACTGTTCCACAACAGTTCTTTTGTAAGGCTTGCTGCTTAGGTCACTGTCTGGATTATCTGCAGCCTAAATGCCAACTCTATAAATTAAATCTGTCAAGTGACAGTTTTTGCCAAAGCGTGCATAATCAACCTTTAAAATTTATTTATACTCCATTCCCTTTCTCTAGCCAGATTAAATTCTCCTTTCCTAAGCTATTTTTGTGTCACTTCAGAATTCAATGTGTAACCACAAGTAGCCCTACTGGTTTCCAATTCCCAAGGGATTTGTACAGGGAGCGGGGGTGGGCTTACCACATGGTAAGAGAAATGCAGTTAAGTTTTCTGGAAATAAAAAAAAAAAGTACTTTCTCAAACTCTGTTCCTTCAGATACCAGTACATGAAGCAATCATAGCACTATGCCATGAAAAAGCTGTGAATTGTTACGGTTTTTTTTTTTTTTTTTTTTTTATGGATCCTTAGAGATCCACGTTCAGTGCCTTGCAGCCTGCAAATGGAAAATACGTTAACTAACTCTTGACTAAGCTGTCTACTGCATCTTACCACACATGCTGGACTCCTACAGAAATGAATACTACAGGAAGCAGCTCCATTATGAAGCTGAAGGTATATTTGATTAAAATTAGGCATGAAAAGGCATAGAAAACGATATAACATGGAAGAGAATTATTTCTTAAAATGGACACTTTTGTTTATCAAGTTGTTTTAAAAAAAAAAAAAAAAAAGCCTTAGAAAATTTCCCAGAGAAAGTCTTAGGGCTCATGGTTAGATCTGATTACTTAATAAGATATGTACTTCCGATGCAGCTACATTCATTCTCGAACTCACACTAACTTCTGAGTGGGACAACAGTTTCTTTGTCTGAGTATATATATATAACACAGTACCCCACAAAATAGCTATTGGCCTTTGGACTTGGTCACTAGACTGAATTCCTTGAGATGCTTGTTATGACAAGACATTAATGCACATGGTACATATTGCTCAGTGGAAATTCCTGTCTAGAGTTCCTACAGAAATTATGATACAGTGCTTGTGTTAGGTTTTGATTATTAAGATCTCTCCAATAGTTTTGATAAAATACATAACTTAAGGGAAGAAATTGTTGCTTTTCAAAGTACAGCATGGTTCAGTTTGGAATAATAAGCATTGTAAATTGTATGTTCATAGAACTTTACACATTTTTACCTTTTTAAAATAACTGTGAAAGATGTTACGGATACAAACTAGGTTGTTGTAAAACCACAAAAGGAAAATCTAGATATCTACTGGGTTATGGCTGTTGAGGTATTGCACTCCATTAAATATAGTTGATGTATCATTATAATTTGACAATTAGTATCATTCTCTAGGTTGGTATCATTGTATCATTTCATTATTTTATTATTGCAATGCTAATAGGCTTCATGTATTAAGTGTTGTGTATCAGGGCTGGCTGTAGCTCCAACCAATCTGCAAAGACTGACAAGGAAAAAATTTCCTATTTCTTTTGTATAGCTGGCATAAATGGAATCAGCGTTTACTGGGTCTGGTATCCTTGTAAAGATTTCTCTGATTTGTTGGCTTCCACAGTCTCTTATCTCCCATAGGGATCTTCCTTATTTTCTTAGGGTCATCTTCCTAATATTTTCCTGCTATTGGCTTTTCTATTTCAAATTTACTGATGAAAAGTCCTGCCTAACCTGATGACATCAAGGATGCATACTTAATGAAAAGAAGTAACTTTCTTCCAAGAAGACATCTTGGTTAGCTGGAGAGAAAAATCTTCTAAAGTTTAGCATAAGCATTGGCTTTTAAAGATGTTTACTTAGTTCTTGATGTCTGGACCACTACTTGCAAGATTAGAGATCACCTATAGTTAAGTGCAAGTCTGCAGGGTAGTGAATTCTCAGTCCTCTGGGATCTCTCCACAACGCTGGTATGGATTATTGCTAAGAATCAGTACCTTGAAACTATCGCCCTCAATAATCTGTTCTGTACAACAGTGAGCCACTGTGGCCAGGGAGGCAGACCACGATAACCCAGAGAATTTAGCAGACTGATTAGCAAGACTCCACTTACGTCTTGTTTAAAGTATGTTCTCTCAGTAGCAAAAGCCTCTGTTCTTCAGCCTGGAAACTGTCTTTTCCCAAGTAGGACAGGGTGACACCTCACCTAGGAAGCTGATTTTCCCACCAGAGTTTGAGCACAGCATTTGGGCTGGATAAGCACTAGTTCACGTCAGTACTGTAATCTCAGGATCTGTGGAGCACAAGCCACAACTTATATCCCAAGCTCTACCAAAAAATTGGCTCAAGCAGCCTGGACTCAGCTTACCACCTGCTGAGTCATCTTATCCCACCCTGCTTTGGAAAAGTCATTAGGCACTTAAGTTTCATCCTTCAAGTTAGCACTCCGTTAACCTGGAATAAGAAGGGCTAACTGCCTGCATCTTTCACTAGGCTATTACATGTTAGTCAACCTTTTCACTTATATCTGCCCGTGACACAGGTCACCAATATTTTATCCCAGCTTGAAGTTTCTTGTCACTTGCCATATGAGAGTTTTTAATTTCTTTAAAATAGATCTTTTCCTCCCTGATGAGAGTTCACCAGTCTGCTTAGCTTCAACCATATCAACCCAAGCCATTCTTATGTATCTCAGGCTAATTTTCCTTGTCATAAATGGATTCTTACGTAGGCAATTTTCTTTAAAATGAAGATGAGTTGACTTCAGTTCAATAGCCAGTATAATTTTCTTTAGAAAGACCTACTTTGCATAGAGATGTTTATAAGAATGTTGAGTAACTTTGCAACCAGGCTCTTAAGTAGGTCTGATAAACCCTGAAATGCCGAGTTGTGCAGCCCTCGGATACTTTCCAATCCCCACAGCTGCCTTCCACCTCCTGCTCCGGGAAACAGCGGACAAAGGCCTGGGTTCGGTGGGGTCTGAGCTCTGCGAAGCAGGTGGAGGCCCGCTGCCTCCCTCCTGCGCACTGGCGCGGAACTCGGCTTCGCCGTCCTCGGGCCTGCTCGGACACGGGCCCCGCCAGGCCGGGCCGAGGGGAGTCCAGGCGGCGGCCCACAGACTTCTGCGTGGGCTCCGGGTTGGGGTCACGGTCCAGCTGGGCTGGGGTCGGGCGCGTCCCTCGGGCTCTAGGCGCTGAGGTGCGCGCGCCCGGCTGCCACGCGGCTCGTGGCGGCGCCCGCGCCGTGCAGATGGCCCTTCCCCCGCGCACCGCCCGCTCCCCCTCGAGCTGCCTGTGGCCCCGCTCCGCTTGCCATTCATCAACCGGTTCGCACCGGCGTAGGCCGCCGGACGGTGACGTCCGCAGGGGCCGGGCCTCCACCCACGCACGTCTGCTCTGGGGCCAGGGTCCCGGGCCGCGATTGGTGGGCAGAGGGGCGCGTACGTCACGCAGAGTATAAAGGCGAGGGCTTGTGACGCAAGAGCGCCTAGGCGCGCGTATTGGCTGCTCGGGCTGCGGGCCGGCTCCGCCAAGCGCTCTGCCGAGCCGCTCAGTGCATGGTCGTCTGGTGCCCCCGCCGCCGCCGCCCGCACCGTCGCCGCCGCCCCGCCACGACCGCCGCCGCCCTCTGCCTGCAGCCGCCGCCGCCGCCTGCATCGCCGCCGCCTCGGGACCGGCTGTATGATTAGGCCACAATCTTCAATGAGTAGACATATTCCTGTGAGTAGCCGCCCGCGGGCCGGGGTGCGCGGCCGCCGCCATCGCCTTTGTTCGGCGGGGCCGTGGCGAGAGCGGCGCACGCGGGGCTCCGTCCACTCCGCGGCCTTTGTGCGCCGCGCGCCGGGCGGAGCAGCCGGGCCGCCTCACGCAAGATGGCCCCCCGCCGGCCGGGACTAGTCCGGGCCTGCCCGCCTCAGCCGAGCCGGGTCGGGCGCGGAGGGCGCGGGGCTGGGTGGGGGCCGCGCCGTGGGGACGAGCATCGCCGGCAGAGGCTTTCCGCGTACGCGCGCATGTGCGTGTCCGTGCGCGCGCGTGGGCTATCGGGGGCGCGCCGGGAGGCGATCTGCGGCGCTCGGCGGAGGGCTGCGGGGCCGGGCCGGGCCTCGGCCTCCCGGCTTCTCCCGCCCGCGCGCGGTCGTTGTGCTAGGGGCGCCCCCTCAGGGAGACGCTGGCGCCGCACGCCCAGCCGGGGAGCTTAGGGCGCGGGCTTTGAAATCCGCTTTGAGTCAGCAGGAAATGCCGGCGTGGCCAGGTTGCGAGCTGGAGAGCGGGGAGGCGGTTTCAGGGGTCAGGCCCCATCTTGCCTTGCTTCAGTTCGGCGGAAGCAGGCAGGACCTCTACTCTGCTGCGAGCCTCGGGAGGAACAGTGACTTTCCCGGTGGGACCTGTTCCTCAGGGAGTTTTAATGCCAGTTCCTGTGCTGGGCCGAAAAATCGTCTGGGCTTCTTGACCCTCTCTGGGATCCGGGAGGCTGGATACAAATAAGCACCTTGACATTCAGCAAAGTTCCAGGAAAGAGCATGGGCTCTATTTAAAGGCATACAGAGCGGAGGGAGGTTCTTTGGAGTGCTTAAGTGCAGAACAAATGGGATCTTTTTTGCTGTTGTTACGGGTACTTATTTTTGGTAATTTATTATCTTTGAGAATATGTTATAGGTACTTACGTTCGGGGTAGTGAATATACATAATTACGTGCTTTTTTGTATGTTTATGGTGCAAAGAAGTGTTATTTTTGTGCGAAAACTGTCCAATTGACCTTTCCCTCATTTCTGTCAGTGTTAACACATCAAATATAAAAGTTAAAACCTGAAAAGGGCCTCCAATGATTTTCTGTGTAAGAGTTAAATAAATTCTGCAAAACTAATACCTTCAAGGTTTGAAACTTCATAAGATTTATTGTGATGTGTAAAAATGTTTTGTTGAGGGGCTGAGGATTTAGCTCAGCGGCATAAGCAACCTGCCTTGCAAGCAGGCGGTCGTGAGTTCGATCCCTGGTACCGATAAAAATGAAAAAGACAAAAAAAAATGTTTTGTTGAACTGATAAACATAGAAAATTGCATGTTTGGTTTCTAATAATGCAAAACACATGACTGCTTATGTGTTTTGCACTATTATGAGAGAGAAATAATTAAGAGGATAGGGAATTTGCCACGTGGAACAATGTTTGATTTACACATGTTAATCTGCAGTCACACACCTCTGAAATTTGTGATTCTAGTAAGATGTCCTAGGCTCTGAATTGGAAAAAAGAATTTTGTACACTTAAATGCTGTAAAAGCATAATACATCCCTTTTTAATTGATCAGCAACTTCTTTCTCTTTTTCTTTTAAACAGCAGTTCTGTGGTGTTCTTGGTCACACATTTATGGAGTTTCTGAAGGGCAGTGGAGATTACTGCCAGGCACAGCACGACCTCTATGCAGACGAGTGAACTGTAGAGATTTCTTACTAATCCACCAAGAAGCCCCGGCAGAGTGGCTCACCTGGACACAGAAGTGGTGAATTGAAATCGTAGAGCATTTTACAAGAGTTCTGACCTGGATGGGGTAAACTTTAGTGCACTTCCTGTTGCCTCAGTATTACTGGATCGAAGGCTTGCTGCTTCTTGTTAGGAGGTTCATTTCATTTCCTAGTACTCCCCACACCACACTCAAAGCACTGAGAAGTTCAGCGGAGTATATTGAAGTAGACTTCAGTTTCTTGCATCATTTTTATTCAAGTTTTAAAATTCTTGCATACCCCTTTTGAGTGTTTTTGTGAGTAAATTAACATGGCTCGAATGAACCGCCCAGCTCCTGTGGAAGTCACATACAAGAGCATGAGATTCCTCATCACACACAACCCAACCAATGCAACCTTAAACAAGTTTATAGAGGTAAGAGTTGATACTTTTTAATGTTCTAAATTGATGGTAGTGTAAGTGAATCCTGTAGCTATCAAAATACTGTTTCAGAAAAGAGGAGATAACATACCTATGTGTGCTGTTCCTAGAGATAAATATCGGTGTGTTCCTTAGAGAAATTATTTTACAGTTTAAGAAGGACGTTAGTAGGCTTACAAGTGAATATCTGGTTCTTTATGCCTTTGAGTTTGCTTAACTTAAATTTTATTTGTGGAAAGTTGAACTGGGTGGCCCTAACTTGTAAGAAATTACAGGCACAAGGCTGCCTTTTCTGGATTTTGTTCTGTCTGCTTAGCTTACTGCTGTGAACCAGAATTAATTTATGTTTTGGGCCACACACAATGTTTAGAATTAAATTTTTAGTACTCATTCTACTGATTCCTGCTGGTAGATATGTAGCCAACATGGCCTAGCTGCCTCCTTTTAGTAGGAGGGAAGAGACATTAATGCTCAGTGATTTATCTGAACGCACATTTTATTTCATAAATTTGTTAATGTCAGAAGAGTTATAATTAGTAATGCATTATAAAGCCTAGTTTTCCATGGTAGTAGGCTTAAAACTTATTGTACATATTATAGTCTTCTAATTCCTGGAGGCTTAAGAAATTACTGTAATTTAGCCAGGCGTAGTGGCTCACTCCTGTAATCCCAGCACTCAAGAGGCTGAGGCAAGGAGGATCATTGCAAGTTCGAGACCAGGCTGGACTACAAAGTGAGCTCAAGGCCAGCCTAAACTGCATAGAGAGACCCTGTCTCAAAAAGATGAAGAAAAAAAAAAAAAAAAAAGAACAAGTTGCCGTAATTTAATTAGATTACTTGGTGAGGTGTTGAGTCATTCCTTAAGTTACATTCATCTCAGTCCTTGTTGCGTCTACCCCTTTTTTGTTAGTGCTTCATACCAATCCAATGTTGCCATTACTGTAAATCACTGAGAGCCGGTTTTGTGTTTAACCTCTTTTACTTTTGTACAATTCTATTTTAAGGAAAATTTGCCTCAGAGGGAACATGTATGGGAAGTTCTACCACTGCTTGCATGATTTTCTGTTATCCAGCATATGTACTAATCACAATGATCAGAATAGCAAAGGATGAGCAGCGGTGGTATAGTGAGGAGGACTTTATTTTTTTTTTTTTTAATGTATATTTTATCCAGGAACTTAAGAAGTATGGAGTTACCACAATAGTAAGAGTATGTGAAGCAACGTATGACACTACTCTTGTGGAGAAAGAAGGCATCCATGTTTTTGTAAGTATTTAACTTCCCATGTATTAATGATGTTACATTCACAAACATTAAACCACAGATGTCGTGAAATGTAATTTTTAAAGTTGTAAGAAAATCATAGTGTCTTAATTTTCAAATGAATACACGTCAAAAAGCTAAGAAGTTTAAATCTTCATGAGGTTAGAGGATAGAGGAATTGATCATATTTTATTGACATTTCAGCTTAATGAAACATGATTAAACTTAATGAATATCTAAAATACGTAAATACTCTTGATTTAGGATTGGCCTTTTGATGATGGTGCGCCACCGTCCAACCAGATTGTTGATGACTGGTTAAATCTTGTAAAAATTAAGTTTCGTGAAGAACCCGGTTGTTGTATTGCTGTGCATTGTGTCGCAGGCCTTGGGAGGTAAGACAGTTTCTTAAGTCTACAAAAAGATACGAATTGATCTGAAAGTACACTTTATAAATTTCTAAATTTTATAAATCTATAAATTTTAAGTTTTTATAAAGTCCAGATTTAACAACACGTATTGCTTAAACCAGGATGATGTGGCAGGGTAGATTTTCATGATTTATCAAAATTCTTACCTTACCAGAGCTCCAGTGCTTGTTGCCCTAGCATTAATTGAAGGTGGAATGAAGTATGAAGATGCAGTACAGTTCATAAGACAGTAAGTGGTTGTTTTTCTTTTCATTTGCACTCCCTTGTTTTTTCTTGTTGAATGTCAGGCTTAATTAAGCATGTTACAAATTATTCTTACTATTGCCATTTTTTAAGATAAAGTTAAGCCAAAAAATGTTTTCTTGTATTCTGAGCAGATGCTCATCATTACTTGAATCTAACTGAACAGTGTTCTTTGAATCACTGGTTTCACTTTAGGTTACTGACGGTTAACTTGATAATGCACAAGTTCTGAGGAGGTATTTGACAGTTTAACAGGCATGTGAGACACCCAGTGCAGTGTATACAATATGTTGGATTATTGGTTCTCTGGAGCATCCCTCTTGTGGCCACATCAGTCATCTCTTGGCCATCAGAAGCAACCTCTTTCTGACTTCAGTCACCCTAACTTTTGTCTTTTCCTTCCAGAAAGCGGCGCGGAGCTTTTAACAGCAAGCAGCTTTTATATCTGGAGAAGTATCGTCCTAAAATGCGGCTGCGCTTCAAAGACTCCAATGGTCACAGGAATAACTGTTGCATGCAATAAAGCTGGGGTGCCTGATGCTACTGCCTTGGACGTGGAGCTTAAGGCGGGGCCTGATTAGTCGTACATATTAGCCCATATGTTGGCTTGGTGAATAAGTAATGAAGCTTCTAAAGGAGCGTGGAAAAGCAGTTATGCAGGCTACATACAAGCTTGACTGATTGCAGCCTCTCTGTTTGGGTTATGATCAGTAGATTTGGACAATTGCCACAAGATTCTTCTCTTCAGCACTTAAAATGTGCTTATCATTTATACCAATTGACTTCCCTGAAATCATGCAGTATTGAGTTTTGGCTTTAAGGCTATTCAAATGCCAGAATCTTAATGATACATAAGAAATGTAGAAAGATTAGGTGCCAAAATACCCAGCACAATACTCCTCTATTTTTAGTATCACATAGAACCAAAATTGCAGGAACTGAAAACACTATATCTGTGGTGTAGTCCCTCGGTCATTTCCAACGTCATAGGGCCTGTGTGGCTATTTGCTTGCTCACTTTGTGTTTACATCTCTCATATTCATACCAGTGTACATCAGGTTTGCTGAAACATTGATTGTTCCTTTCGATTATTACCATGTCTTATGGTGATTATTTAATGTCTTTCTATAAGTTTTTTATTTTGTGCTGTTCCTGGAAACCTCCATTTTGAAAATCTACATTGTTATAGAAGCACATGTCTTTCATGTCTGAGACAAAAAAGCCTTACAGTTCACTTAATGTTTGCACTCTGAGGTGCAGTGTAACAGGGAGGGCCTGAAAACACACCGGGACGGGGCTAGTCAATATTTTTAGTAAACTGTTGCCTTTGTCTTGTGTGAAACATGTAGAATATGCTCTTTAATTTAGTAAATATTTTTTAAAAGGTATAGATGCTTTGTTATTGTAGCTAAAATAATTCTTAATCATAAGATTTCTGAAATTGTAATTTTTTTCCATACTTATCAGAAATTGTTTACCGACTTATTTTTGTTTGAGGTGTGATTTTTTTTCCCTTCTCTTCCCAACCTCTTGCAAAAAAAAAAAATGGGTTTCTGCTAATGAATTGAGCAGACATCTAATATTTTATATGCCTTTTGAGCTGTGTAACTTAATATTTGGATACTTGACAATTTGTTTTATGATGTAACTGATAGAACGGTGATGTGTATTAATGTTAGTTCAGCCATGTGTACTTGTTTGGGTTTATACCGTGGGGTTACAATTCTGTGGGAGAAATAATTTGTTAGTGTTCACAGCTTGTAAAAAAACTTAGTGCGAGAGCTTAAACATCTAATAAATAGTGAAATGCATTTATCACTGAGATTGTTTTGCTTAAAGTTAACTTATTTTTACAGCAAATGAAATTAATGAATTGCACTTAATGCCAGTTCATATAAATGTGTCCTCTTTGTTTTTATTATTATTCTTTTAAGCAAATGAATTGTTGAACGAAGTCATTTTTGTTACAGGCATAATTTGATATGGTCATAAACAATGCTTTGCTTTATAAACTACTTGACCTACACAATTTTGAACCAATTTATTTTATACCTTAGGGAAGGTACAGAGAGATGATCTTGATTTTTTACAGCTCAAGTGAGTCACTAGTAGTGATTTTGTATGACTTCTGAACCTTAGTTTTCTTATTTGCAAATAATAATTACATATCTTTTTTGGAGACTGAAATTAACTTGAACCTTATTTGGCACATTAAGGCTTAGTAAAAATTCTTTTCAATAATCTGAAAAACTTCACAGTTTCGTGTTTATCTAAAAGGGGCAGATGTCCTTGTCTAATTTTTTTAAAAAATAGTTATAAATGTGAACCAAACACCTGAGTAACATGATACTTAACTTTGTTTCTAAAAATGTGCTTTCATCTTTTCTTGTCAGTATAGCACTTACAGGCCCTTGTTAAAATTTAACCAGGGCAAGTTCATAAAGGTCCTTCATTCTGTAATTCTGTAAGTCTTAGATGGTTTGTGACTGGGGTAAGTTGTTTCATCTGAGCATTTTTTTTAATACAGCCCACACTTGATAATATAAATTTGTGTAATTGATTACTAAGTGATACATTATTGCCATGCAGTCATAAAATAGCATTTGTGTTTACTAGGAGAGAAGAGGTGCCATCATAATTAATGAAACTTTTAAGTTTGAAAGATCTAATTTGCATTGCTGGATTGTGTATATGGTGCTAAAATCATTTTATAACCCATATCTGTATAGTACACAGCATGGTAAAATTTGGTTTTTAACCAGATGTTTTGTATCTTATTAAAATTAGCTAATCATAGGAATGCTTGTAGTACATTCTAAAAGATTCCATCTGTCTGATAACTGAACAGGTTGGTCTTGGTAAAATAGGTGGTATTTTAAAATTTGGCTGCTGTCAATGAGACAGTGTAAATAGTTGACTAGACTTCTCTGTAGGAACTGTAGTTTTGCTAATAGAAGCAATGTGACTGCTGAACTCCAACAAGAAAATGCCATTTGCTTATAGTGGAAGGAGAGCCCTAGAAATGCCACTGGTTATTTTGTAGTACACTGCAGCGTTCATGTGTTTCCATCCTGTCTCAGACCTTACCTAGCTCCATACCTTGGGCAGCCCACTAGGTCATGTGATCCTGTTTGGCCACTTCTCCCTGCAGAGTGGTACTATTGTTTCCCTACTTGGCTCAGTCAGTCTCTGCTGATCCATTTTAAGTGTCTGTATTTATCTAACAAATAACTACTGTTTGCCAGGCGATTAAGAGTATTGTGGAGATCATAGAAGATGGGGTCACTAGTAACAACCCCACTTGCTGAAATTAACAAAATGTTTTCAATTGGAATTTTAGGGCTTTGTAATTTTATGAGAATACAAATGGAAATAAAAGCAACAATGTTCTACATGTAAATTCTTTTTAAGTTTTTAAATTTATGAAGTAGTGTCTACCGTACATGTTTATAGTCCATATTCTTGATTTCTTGAAGTAATATTTGTATAGATGTGCCTCTACCTGATTTGAAAATTAAAAACATGTTTAAAAGTATCTGACAATTTTTCTACATTATGTTTGGGGTAACCAGCCTAAGCCAAATCTTAGAACAAAAGTAAAAGAAACTTATATTTACCTTTAAGGTCTTAAGCTGGTTATGTATATTGAGAGGAACAAAAGAATTGAGAGTAATTCTATAATTTTTGGTATATATTGCCATATTAACTAATTAATGTATATAGTTTTCACAATAGCCACAATTAAAAATGTTTGTTTTAAATCTTACTGTCAAGTAATTTTCATAATTTACTCCCAGTAATGTCCCAATTTTATGTACAGAAGGGTTTTCTCTTTAAATTTTTTGGTACCGGGGATCAAACTCACGACCTTGCCCTTGCCAGGCTGAGGATTTATCCCTGGCTAACAAGGTTTGAGCACCCAGTTAGAGTAGCTGATGGATTGTAGAACTAGAAAAAAATTCAAATTTGCATTGGAATCTGTCCACTAAATCATATTTAGTGTATGATTTTCTGGGGAGAATGAGGTTTGAGGCAGCCCCATGGTAGGTCAGGCTGGCCTTGACTTCACTGTGGTCCAGGCTGGATTCAGTGGCAGTCTTCCTGCCTCAAATTCCCCAGTGCTGAGATTACAGGCATGTGCCACCACACCCAGTTTATGGCTATTTTTTACCTTTCAGAGTTATTGGGACTCTCCTATTAAAATTTTCACTAAAGATCATGTTTCTATCATAGACTTGTAGAAAACTTTACTTGGTGTTTTTCTGACTTTACACCTTATTTTTGCAGAAAACCTGTTTTTGGAACTTGTTGGAATACTGTTAGCCTGCAGTCACAACTGCAATCTCTACTGTTTGAAGATTAAGACTTCTAGGGTTGCTCCCTTAAATTTCATATCCATTATTGGGAGCCAGGTTGGTGGGACAGCTGCCCTGAAATGGTGACATCAGAAGGCAAGCTCACACTGACTACAGACTAAAAGTTCACACACGTCACTGTCAACTGATCACAGAGCTACCCAGCCAAGCATAATTTGTTTGACTGCCGGATTAGAGGTGCTAGAACATACAGAACAGAGGAGAGAAACCTGCAGTAGCACAAGATAAGTTTGCCAGTTTGTCTGGCAAAGTAACTGAAAAAGTAAAGCTACTCAATTCACAAAAGGGTCTCGCTATGCAGTTCAGGCTGGCCTTGCACTCATTTTGTAGCCCAGGCTGGTCTTGAACTCACAATTATCCTCCTGCCTCAGCCTGGGATTACAGGCATGAGCCACCACACCCGGTTCATTTGGAACAATTTAATGTTAGGTTTACATCTCAAACCTGAGGACAGTGGTGTTAACACAAAGCAATTAATCCCCAAAGCCACCAAGAATACAAATTTTACATCTCATTAAGGCAAGGAATTGTACAATTCAGTTTTCAAGGAATGGTTGTGGATATAGTAGACAAATGGCATGATTCACTGGATGAAACTTAGTGGGCTGTTTACCACGGTAGAAGAGCAGGTAACGTGTTGGGAATTCTGAATCTGCATGGGAGAATGCAGTGTTGGACCATTGTGTGAATCAGCATCTCAAGGAAACCATTCAGTAATAAAGGGAAAGCAGCAGTCTTCACCATGCAGGTACCAATGCCCAAACACAGCAAGGGAGCAGCTGGTGTTACTAGGAGCCAATGGCGGAGCTAAAAGTTGGGAGATAGTCAACTAGGTGGCGATCTGGAAGGAGGTGAGAGGCTGAGAAATGTCTAACCTGGGTCCCCCCCCCCCCCCTTTAATCTCTCCTGCCACCCTCCTATACTCTGGCTAAATCCAATAGGAGGGCCTTAGGCAAAGGAACCTGAGCTTCTGCAGACCAGCCTCTCAGGGCCAAGCAGAACACCGAGCAGGACTGGGAGTTCTGTACTCCCTTATTCCCACTGTATTCAGAGGTATTCTGTATTCTGCAGAGTAGACTGAGGAAAGTAATTTTTCACTGAAAGATCCAAACTGGCACATACCGCGTGCTCGTACTTTGAAAGTAACAATATAATGGAAGCGTCTAATGAAGCAACTCACTTATGGCCCCATGCCTGTAATCCCATTGGGATGCTGAATACAGCACTGTCCAGTGTCTAAACCCAGCCTAGGCTGCATAGTAAATTCAAAACTAGTCCAGACTACATAGACTGTGTCTGATACTCAAAAAGTTGGGATTTAGGCTTGGTGTGGTGGTACAGTCCTGTGATCACATTCCTGTAACTCAGGAGACAGGTGGGAGGATTGCTGTGAGTTTGAGGCCAACTTGCACTACATAGTGAATTCAAGCCTAGCCTGAACTGCATAATAAGAACCTGTCTCAAGTTAAAAAAGTATTTTTACAAAAAGGATTTGGGTCTATGGTTTGTAATTCTGATCAGTTGCCTGTTCATCATAGATCTGATCCTGCTAGCAACCTCCTTCCCAATAATGCTGGTAAGATTATGCCAGTAACTCCCACCTCTTGTCAAGGAAGAATATAGCATGAAGGAATAACTGACTCATTCTTTGGATCCTAACTCATTAAGATGCAAAATTTGTAACATGAAAATACCTGCAACTAGGATTGCCCCTGGTTTCAACATATTTGAACAGTTGTTTCCTTCACGAAGATCTGTTTTAGAGCAGCCTCTGCTGAGTTTCCCTAATTTGAATGTAATCATAAGGAAATCAGTATGCTAAGAAACAAGCCCTGTAAAATCTTTTTAGTAGCCACTTTTTTGTATACGTAACAACTTACAGCATACATGCTAGAATTTACTCAACTATTAAGTTTGATTATTAGACCTTTTATTCTTGATATATATTTGAGAAAAAAACACTTACTAGGCTCTATGCTTTATTGGCAGGAGTAGGAGCAAGAAGAAAAGTGAAGATACAGGCTTGGGAGCTGTTACATTTTCAGTCAACATCAGGAAATCAAATTAGGCAGACTTCCTTGCAATTACTTAACATCACATGTATCAGACACTGGGGACAAAGGAGTGAGGGTCCACTTGGTCCTTGCCTCTGAGACACAGGCAAGCAGGTCAGAATGTAATCTGGAGCTGCTAAGGAGAGCATAATAATAAAAGGCAACTGATCCAAAAACATTTCCTTGAAAGACTCTGAGTTGCATCTTCAATATAACTCCTCAGAACTTTCCACATTGGAAAAGTTAAGGAGTAACTTGATCAGCTTCTTGTTGGTATTAACTTTTAAGAAACACTTGTGTCTCTTACAATATAAAGCATGTAGGAATAGTTAACAGAGATCTAACAGTGGTACCCTGTCCTCCTGAAATCAGACTGGTTGT